CTTTTCTTTACAGCCCAAGGGAGCCTAATGCTCAGGCTGAAGCCAGCAGGGTCTGATAATGAGGTGCAATTTGTGGCCCAGGCAGCAGGGGGTGCGGGCGGAATGCTGGGGCTGCAGAGCGCAGCGTGCAGGTGTGCAGTACAACCCTCTGCTGCTCTGCTGCTCTGCTGCTTGTCAGAGGTTTGTCAGACACAGGGAGAATCATCCTGCAGAGCTTTTTCCACTAAAGCCATCAGCTCTATCACCCTGCAGCTCACAGCTGGCAGCCCACTGGAGCTCAGCAGGTGTGAGCCTGGCCAGTACCTGGAGGGGAGACTCCTGGGAAAAACTGAGGTTGCTGCTGGAAGAGGTGTCAGTGGGGCCAGCAGGAGGCACTGACCCTGTGGTCTGAGTGGGTCCTAATGCCCCAGTATAATGATGTGGACACTACACTGTAAAAAGGTGCTGTCCTTTGGATGAGACATAAAACCAAGGTCGTTTCCCAAAATCCCAGGGTATTTCCCAAAAAGAGCAGGTTTTTTACCCAGATGTCCTGGCCAGATTTCCCATTGGCCTTTACTAATCATCCCTCCAAATAATCCCCATCTCAGAACTGGCTTCATCACTCTGCCCTCCTCCCCACTGAGAGCTGGTGTGTGGGGAAAGTGCTGGTGCATCTCCAGTTGGGGTTGCACACTGGTGTTGGTGGAGGGGAGTCCCCATTACCTGTAAAGCGCTTTGATTCAAGTGTCCAGGAAAGTGCTTTATGAGTGTAAGGAATAATAATTATTATTATTATAATTAAAGCACCACGTCTAGATAGAGAATCTTCTTCCCACCCAGGATGTGGTCCCAGAGCTCTGACCCCAGAGGGTGGGGTCACAGGGATAGAGGGGTGTCATTTGGCCAGTACTGGCCTGAGCAGAGGGGAGGTTTGAGAAAAGATGTTTCAATGTGTTTGTTGTCCTTTAGCCATAAGGCCTTTAAAAAGAACAGTCTGTGTTGATGCTACAGCTGACTGGTGTATTAACCACTAATGCTTGCAGAAAAGCCCTGGCTCTGCGCACTAAAGACAGAAGGTTCTGGAGGGAGCTGATTAAAGAGCACAGAGAGGTGGTGTTTAAGGAATCTGGCTCAGGCTGTCGGTGTGGAAGGAGGCCAAGCTGGAGAGCAGACAGGGAGCAGCTCGTGACTGACGAGCCTTTCTGAATGGCAGCACCAGCTGTGCCCTGGAGTCTGGCTGTCAGGAATCATACTCCCGGTGTAAACACCGGCGCCGCTGTTAGCAATGAGCACGGCACTCCCCGCTATCACTTATAAACCCCTTCACTCCGTCCACTCCTCGCTCACTGTTGAGTTAGTCTTTGCCTTTCTCTTGTGCGCTTTCCTTCCATTTACTGTTTACTGGATACCGACCCCGCTCTGCCTCCGACCTCGACTCCGTCTCTGCCTCCCGTCTCTTGGATTTGTTTGCCTCGCTGCCTCGACCTCTGGACTCCCGACCCTGCTCTGCCTCCGACCTCGACTCC